AGGGGACCCCGCAGCCGCCCTGTTTCCACCCTGAGAGCTCGGCGAGGCAAGTCGCCCCTCGCCCGTCAGCGGCGCGTCGGGAGGTAGAGCGGGCCGCAGCGAGGGGCTTTAGGCAGGGCAAAGGCGGGTGGGGGTTCGGTGCCTCCCCCGCGGGGAAATCGGGGTGCTCACGGGTGGGGGCAAAGTGCCCAAGTCAAAGCGGCTCCGTAAAGATTTAGATTTTTAACAAGGGGAAAAAAACCCAGCACCGCGGGTGGGGCGGGACTCGGGGGGTTTCTTTACAAAACTCCTGTCCGTGGCAAATCCTGGTTTTGCCCCCCGATATTTTCTCAGCCTCTAATAAGCCAGACGCCGGCGAGTGACTCCTTTCTGTTGCAATGGGGCGGACTGAAACCCGCACCCTCTAGCCGTGTAGTCATTTGATGTTGCTCCTTTTCCCCACTAACGGGGGTCAGTAAATTCTCGGATCCCCCCCCCCCTCCTCTTTCCCCGCAGAAATGTGTGTGCCCGAGAGTTAGAAAGCTGCCCACATCTCCTCTCCGATTAAACTCTCCTCGCTGGGTTATTAGCCTCAGCCGCCCGGGTGCCCGAAGGTAGGTCTGGCTCTTTTTCCTTTGCACTTTCCGTGTAAGAGTATTTCTCTCGGGTCGCGTCCATTCCTTGATTTTAGCCGAGCAATTTGGCCATTTCAGCCAAGCGGTCGGGGTGGGCCATAATGAGATGCTACATAATGAGAGGCAGCCCGGTTCACTCCCGTTTAAAATCAGAGCATTTAAGAAATTAACACGCCCTAGGCAGACGCGTCCCGGCAAAAGAGGCAGTATCGCCAAATAATGCAGCGAGTTGGCTTCATCGCTGCTGCTTTTCGAGTGATCAGCAAGACCTAGAAATAACCAAAGCCACCCTCCTGGGATGCCCAAACGACTGGAAGAGAAGTTTGCCCTCGGCTGATTGCTTGATTTAGGATCTAAAACTTGGGAACTAGTCTAATTGGGAGTTCAATCGCTTTTTCACTGCTCTTATATTTAAGGGGTGGAAATCTTAGGGCATCGGCGCGTGGGGAAAAAAACCAAACAAACAAACCGCGCATAAAGTCCTCACGCTGCTCCCTGGGTAATTGAAAAACGGTGTTTTTCAGGGGGGAAATCATGAAGAATCGGTCAGTTCATGCTGGTTTTCTTCCTGATCCGGGCATTGGAAAGGGCAAATAGCGACGCAGTTACACACAGAATGCGAATAGATTGAACCGATCTTTAGCTGTGAAGTGACTATAACCGCCCCCCGTATATTATAGTAGAAAAGATTTGCGAATGCGCGAAGCGGGCAAAAAAATATTTTTTCAGTAGCAGCAGGAAAATAAGTCACCTACACGGGGACCACTCGCGACAGCAGAGGAAACTCTTCAGTCTCCATTTCCCGAAGAGGAGCTAGAAAGAAGGAGCGATCGGTAAACCTGCGGTCAGAGTGCAGCTTTGAGTGGGCTACGGCTTAATTTTTCTGCTGTTTTCAATAAAGGAAAAAAAAGTCCAGGAGGGGGCTAAACTTCTCGAGTGCTCCGGGAGCTCAAGTCGCCGGGCGTAACGTGTCACCGGCACACGCTCCGAATGTTCACAACAGCTGTTCAGAAGATTACGAAGGCTCCAGCAATTTTCCGGAAGCGAGTGGCTTGTGTGTAAACCCAGCCGGACTGCTGAAAAGGCGGACAGCTCCTAGCTGCCTCTCCCCGTCGCAGGGCACCTGGCCTCCTCTCCGGCTCGGTTCCTGGTTCGCAGGGAGACTGCCTGAGGGGTGAAGGGGGCCGTTTTCATGATAACCAGCCTTCGAGGCAGATTAGCTGCGCCCGCGGGCGAAATGTACTATTTTTTGTCGCTGGCACAGTGCTCAAATACTAGCTCGAGACAGACAACCCCCCCTGAAATAGAACAAACTGGGTGCAAAGGTGTAGCCGGGATAGCTACAGAGCCGGGCCTCCAAGAAGCAGACGTGTTCGCTTTTACAAGCGCTACACTTTAGAGTGTTCTACGCATCGATGGTTCTTTAAGTTCTGTCCTCACGATCAGGTGTGTGAGACCAAACATACACAGAACACGTCGATGGCGAGCGGCTGGGCCATCAGTTAGCGTTTGAGTACAGACCCCAACGTTAGCCTCAAAAAGTGTAACATCTTCCGCACACAGGAGGAAACTGTGCGTTTAAGCCGCAAATGTGAGTAGCGCGGTGGAATTGATTTGGAGAGGCATACACAACGCTGCTGCTAAGGAGGAGACTTTTTTCTGAGGTTTTATTTACCTTAACCCTTTGACCAGGTGAGCAATTCAATCACCCTTGTTCCATCCCCAAAAGTTACAACCATCAGAGCGACCTTTCATATTTAAAAAAAAAAAAAGAGAGAGAGAGAAAAGAAAGTCTGAAAAACTTCCAAAGAGCGGAGAGAAAAGGTTTAGTTTCGTTCTCTGTTAAAAGCAAAAGCGGCCGGTTTTAGTGGAACAACTTCAGATGGGTTTAGGGAGGAGGCAGAATGCAAGGAATCAATATCACTTGCTAAAAAGCAGAGGGTGGCTTTTTAAAAAAAAAGATAGGCACACGGATTTCACACTCGGGCTTTCAGACCATCCGCGGAATACCGTTTAGGCCAAGATGGGGTATAATAGAAATATCATCAGGAGACAATCACCCTCTCAGAGGGTTCACTTCTCCTCCCAGACACTGTTATTTGAGAAATAGGATCATTTGATTTCATATTGCACTAAATAACACCCAGCCGTCTCAAATTGCAAGCTTCTTAAACACCACCCATCGGAGTAAATTGCCTTGCTACTCTCTCTAGCCTTCTTGTTTCGGAGGGAGGGGGCAGAGCACATATGATGCGACTCGGCCCTAACTTTAGAAGAGAGAGGCACTAACAGGCGAGCCGAAATCAGACACGGCGTGCGGCCCGCTCGCGTTCTTCGCCGGGTTCGAGCGCCAGCTCTGGCGAGCTGAAATTGACCAAACCCAGGGAAACTTTTACTCCCCGCCCTGCTCCAGCTGGTCGCGTAGAGATCGCTGGCCGTGGCGTTGCGCTGCCATAGCTGCGACTTGTTGCCCCCACCTCCCTCCCCATCTCCAACCCCCTCCCCGCCTGAATTCCCTGGACTTGGATTTGGATAGACACATACCGCGGATTCCTTCCGGCGTCTGCGGGGCTCCTTTCCAACCGGCGTGCGTGGGAAGGGGGGGGTTCATTGTGTGGGCGCGTTTGACGCCAACCCCTCCGAGTCCCGGGAGCTGCGCGCTCTCTGTGTCTCTCCCTGCGCTGCTCTCCTCCTTTCTGCGCAAAGTCTGGGGAGAGAGTTTCCTGCCCCAAACTGCAGCGGGTGGCATGTTCCAGGCCGAGAAGCAGCGCTCAGCAATGCGCTGCATTTCTTAATTGGCACTTGAACCGCTAAGCCTGATGTGCGCGATTTTGCTAGAGTTTTTTTTTAATAAGCAAGATGTTACCCTTTGCTGCATTGGTTCCATACGTGCCAAGGTGCGATGTTCCTTTAAGGCGATCCGTGCCTGCTCTGCTAATCTGGCCATCACCGACTTCATTATATTTGTATTAATGTCAGCCGCGGATTACTAATTAGATTGGCAGGATAATTGAAATGACATGTACGGGCTGCGTACGGACTGGAGAATCGCTAAATATTTCATAGGGCTTCGGGCGCCTTGTCCTATCACATTTCTCATTCATTTCGGCCCGGACAGTGTTCGGGAGATTAGGTAGAGTTCGGTTGTTTATTCCGAGGTCTGTTTAAACCCCAACATTTCCTTTGGTTAAAAGTGAGGCTCTTAAATATCGAGCCGGAAAATGCTCCACAAAACTAG